TCCTGCTGAGCTGTGGTGCCCTGGCACTGCCCAGTGTTGCCCCCAGTTGAAGGAGAAAGGAGGACATGGTTCATCCAGTCTTTAAGTTCCTCTTGACCATAGGGAGACCAGGTTCCTGATGGGTCCATCATCCTCCCAGAGTTGGAAGGTACAATCCAGGCTCTGGTTGGTGGGTTGGTTTGGTTTTGTTGTTTTTTTTTTATCACAAGGCTGTCTTTATTCTGCTGTTTAAGCAGTCTGCTGTGCTCACATTTCAGTCTTCCTTTGGCCCCTGAAGTTTTTAAGAGCTGCTTGTAACAAAGCCCTTTACATGTGGGGAACAAGGGCAGCTTGGACCAGGCCATCTTCTGACCTCAGAATTCAAGTGTACATCCCCAGAAAGCAATAAGTAAATCAGTGAGTTACACTATAAAAGGCTGTAGTGGTTTGTTTCAGAAGGAGCTTATTCTGTTGAAATACATGTGAGTTCTGTTGGCAGGTGAGCAGGCCAAGTGGATAAGGCAGCTGCTTCTGATGGTGCTGCAGGACATGACTTTAGTGCCTCTTGTCCCATTCAGAGCCCTGGGTCAGGCTGCCCAGAGAGGCTGTGGAGTCTCCTCCTCTGCAGACATTCCAAGCCTGTCTGGACATGTTCCTTTGGGATCTACTGTAGGTGATCCTGCTCTAGCAGAAGGGCTGGACTAAGTGATCTCCAGAGGTCCCTTCCAATCCTGATGATTCTGTGACTAGGGAAGCATGCAAGCTTCAGTTTGCAAAAGTTAATACTCAGTTTTAATGACTGTTTAATTTACAACTGACTGTCATTAACTTGACAGCCCCAGACAAGATAAGGCTTTTAGACCACAATGCTAAACGAAACCAGGTGTTTAGCAAAGCAGTTTGTAGAAGAGCATCAGTGCTTGGGGCTGTCTGAGTCTCATTGCTTGTCTCCCAGCTGCTAAACCATATCAAATGGCTCTTTCACCAAAATCTCTCAAATGGTTGTTTCAGGGGTTGAAAACCACTGCTGTAAAACATTTGGGAAGGGCTATGTCTTGGCTTTGAGGACTCACTGCAAGCAAGTCCAGTAACAGTGAGCTGGTTAGGGCTTATGCTGGCCAAAATCTTGAGGAGAGGCTTCAGATGTTTTAGCTCAAGAGCTAGTAAAGTATTCATGCCCAGAAACAAATATCTTGGGATGTATTAAGAACAGTGTGGCCAGCAGGTCAAGGGAGGTTCTCCTTCCCTCTACTCTGCCCTCCTAAGACCACATAGGAAGCATTGTGTCCAGTTCTGGGCTCCCCAGTTCAAGAGGGACAGGGATCTACTGGAAAGAGTCCAATGGAGGCTACGAGGATGATGAAGGGACTGGAACACCTGCCTGAGGAGGAAAGGCTGAGAAACCTGGGGCTGTTTAGTCTGCAGAAGAGAACACCAAGAGGGGACCTGATGAACGTCTATAAATATCTGCAGGGGGGTGTCAAGAATGGGCCAGTCTCTGTTCAGTGGTGCTTGTGACAGGACGGAGGGAAACAGCACCAAGTGACAACACAGGAAGTTCCACCTCAACATGAGGAGAAACTTCTTTGCTGTGAGGGTGAGGGAGGCCTGGGACAGGCTGCGCAGAGAGGTTGTGGAGTCTCCTTCTCTGGAGACTTTCAAGACCTGTCTGGGCATGTTCCTGTGTGATCTGCCCTGTTCCTGCTGAAAAGAGGTTGTCCCTGCCTTCTGCACCCCCAGCCCTCATGTATTTATAGACATGCATTAGATGCCCTCTCAGTCTACTCAGTCCACTCCTCTCTAGGCTGAAGAGCCCCAGGTCTCTCAGCCTTCCCTTGTAAGGCATGTGCTCCAGTCCCTTCATCATCCTCGTAGCCTCCCTCAGACTCTCTCCAGTAGATCCCAGGGCAGCACTGTGCTCGTGCTCCTTGCCAGGAGGGCTGCAGGACTGGGACCAGCAGCACAGGCTGAGGCGGCAGCTCTGCCAGGTCTCAGTCCGATGCAGTTCAGCTGTACCAGACACCTTGGGTGGGAGGCTCCTGCTGGAGCAAAATAGCTCACCTGGAAAGACCACCTGTTCCTGTTGTACTTCTCCCACCACACTGTAAAATGCTCTGATCCCTGCCTGGGGTCTGGAGAAAATGTCTGGAGGTTCATTTTCTCCTTTTCCTTGAGAGTTGTTACAACTGCACTGGAATCTGCTTGTCAGCAGTGGCACTGAGATCCCATCACCATGGGATGTTTCTTGTGTTTTTTGTTCACTTGGAGGCCAACTTAAAGGCCTTGGCCACTTTCAGAAGCAGGCCTGCTCTTGGCAGAGGCTCTGCCCTTAGCAAAGAGCCCTTCTGAAATAGCTGGTAAGGGCTTTTCCAGCTTCCTGGCACTTGCCATTAATACCCTCTGTCTGCAGCCTGGTGTCATCTTGTCCCCACACCAGATTGGGTCAAACCTCTTAACCACATATTTTTGGGAAGTGTCATCCCCAAGTTGTTAATCTGAGAAAAGGGCTGGGGAAAGAGGCTGCTTAGCAATTTAAAAATGACGTGGTTCCTTCAGTCTTCTTATCAGAAATTCTCTGTTTGTTTCTTATGGGGAGGGGTGGGGGGTGTTTTGAAGCTTTCAGGGAAGTGATGCTCCTTTGTGGGTGCTGTTCAGTAGCTTTGATAAGGTTCTGCTCTTCATCAAATAAAACTGAGAAGTCAAAATAGAAATGAGTGAGTAGAGGAGAAGTGGGATGGAGACTAGAACTGGGAGCAGTGTGGGAACATGCTTTATAGCCATGGGGTTGTTGGAAGGGTCTGTCCCAAATGCAAAAGGCTCTCCAGGCATTCCAGCTGTTTTCTGCTGTCATATGGCCACCATGAAGCCCACAAGAGAATTTGGTGACCACCTGCTGATATTGGTCAGTTGGTGCTTGCTGTTTGCTGTGTTCTACTCTCAGCCTGGGGAGCCTTGGAGCTGCTTGTCGTGGCTGCAGCATCCACTCGTCAGCACTGCTGATCTCCATGGGAATGGGCATTAACCCCAGGAAAGATGAGTGTTGTCTCTGCATGTTTGAAGAGTCTTCAGGAGCAGAGAGGCTGAGAGCTGCCTGTGGGCTGCTGGAGACACCTTGGTTAGCGCTGCAGGGAAGCTGAAATACTTCTGGGGAAGTTGCAGAAAGTTCTTGGAAGTCAGGAAATGCCACAACCAAAATTGCCTTAGTTTTTACTTCCTTTCTCTTGTGCATCTGTGTTGCCCTGTGGTCTCTACGTGGTCACAGACTGTGTTTTCCAGGACAAGTGCATGGGTGAAAGATGCCCACTAGCTAACTTTGTGTATCCTCTGTGTGGTGTGGCTGTGAGCTCTTTATCCCTGCTCAGAAGACAAAATGATTCATTTCCTCATGGGCTTCTCTGGGGTACTTTGCTGTGATAGATGAGCACCTCCCAAACAGTAATTTAATTTTGCAACCTTCTTTAGGGAGGGAAGACAGCAACCTTGTTCAGCATGGGTTAAAGATAATTTTTAATAGAATTGGATTTTAATTTTCTTTAAGCAGCCATTTTTTAATGTTATGGTCTGTTCTATGTAAAAATAGTATTTGCTGCCAATGTGACTGATCCAGGACTGGAGGACTTGTCTGAACCCAGAACCACCTCTGGCAGCCCCCTGGTGAGGGGTCAGTGTCTCCTGCCATTCAGCCTAGCTTGGTTGTTTTTTAACTAAGAAGCTGGTTGGAAGCTGAAAAAAACACAAAAGGCTTTTGTTAACTGTTAGGCTGTGAGATCGATGCTTTTTGGGGCATGTTTTGACCCAGTGCAGGTGAAGATGGTGAGTTGAGCTGCAGTGCCCTGTGCTTGGGAGGGTCTGTAGCCAGAGGGGTAGGACACTGCTGTGCTGGTACCTGCAGGACTTCTGCTTGGCTCACTGAAATGGTCTTCAGCACAGGAGGGTTGTGAACTGGGGCTGTGGAATGAGGAGCACTTTGGTCACAACAACCCCATGCAAAGCTGCAGGCTTGGGGTGAGTGGTTGGAAAACTCCACAGTGGAGAAGGACCTGGGGGTGCTGGTTGACAGCCAGATGACCATGAGCCAGTGTGTGCCCAGGAGGCCAAAAATGCCACCAGCATCCTGGCCTGTATCAGGAATGTTGTGGCCAGCAGGAGTAGAGAGGTGATCGTGCCCCTGTGCTCAGCACTGGTGAGGCTGCACCTCGAGTGCTCTGTGCAGTCCTGGGCCCCTCACTTCCAGAAGGATGTAGAGTTGCTGGAATGTGTCCAGAGGAGCTACCAAGCTGGTGAAAGGTCTGG